CAATAGTCAATGATGACAATTTGTTTTGTTTTGCGAATAAACTTAATACTGGTATTTTTTTTTATCTCTCTACACAAAACAAAGTTACTATATGTTGAACATTAATAAAGAAAATGTATTTTGATGATGTAAATTTATTCAAGTCTTTATCTTTGTCTCTGTGGAAGGAATGAAAGTTTTTTTCTCTCAATTAAATCTGAAATTCAAACGAGTGTATAACGTTAATTGAACATGGAAATGATATATTAGATAACTTTTGTTTTTCAAACGAATTAACTTGCATTTCACAAAGTTTTCATCATCATGTCTTACAAATAGTTGTGTTATTTAGTCTTTTCTTTGCGATGTACAAAATTTCGTATCAATTCTGCTTTCATAAAATTTACAAACCGTCGTAGTAATGACTATAAAAAAATCTATATTGCACCTTCAAACTTATAAATATCATCAAATTACTTTAATTATTGCTTTTCTAAATATTAGAATGAAGTATAGGGATAGATATTAAAACGTTTGTGCTGAAAACTTATGTCATGGATTTCAGATTCTATGGATTTTAAATCTCAAGACGAATTCCCGTTCTTTTTAAAAATGGTTGATGTTATGTCATGTTTCAAAAAAGTCAACCAACATATGAAAATTGACCTTCAAAACTTTTTAAGCCAATTTTAAAAAATAAATTAATAATAAATTGCTGCCCAATAGTTATTCTGCCAGCTCTCTCAAAAGTCTTTGTAACGATTATTTATGAGCAAACGTGCGTATTTATTGAAACAAGGCTTTTTTTTCATATATATGTTTGCCGTTAGTTTAAATAACAATAAGAAATTGCAACTAAAGATATTAATTATCTTATCTTATATGTTTTGTAAACGTTTTAAATATTTACATGTGAAATAAATAATCAATAAAATATAAAATACAAAAATAAAAATCAAAAAAATTTTCAAAATGAAAAATAAAAAATTTTAAAAATATTATTGCAACGGAATAACTAAAGTAATAAAATAGATAACCAAGAAGTTATCATTCCAAAAAAATTGCATTGCTCGCAATATGCATTTCTGTTTGCCCCAAATATTATCCTCCTAGCATGTGTTTATTTACTCTATTTTTTTTTTAGTTTTGTTTAATTTGTAATACCCCAAGTAATGTAACAGTAAGGAAGATAACTGTGTATAAACAAAAAATATAATTATTTTAGTGATGCATTGTTAATAAAATGTTTTCTCATATATAACATGGAAACTTTTTGATATCTTACTTTCAATAAATTTAATATGCAATTTCCTTGACAACTTTTCATCTAAAACTACTCGTAGAAAGGTTGTTGTCGATTGCCTTTTTAACTATTATGTTATTGATTAAAAGATTAGGTAATTTAAAAGGAATATTATTGGCTTATGTAATAAGATAAATATAGTTTTCTCTGCATTTAATGAAACTCAGTTAATAATAAACCACTTGTTTATTTAACCTTGTTCTTCATTAAATATTTTTAAAAGAATAATTATACTTTTGTAAGAATAAAATAAATTAGAGACATCTGTAAATAAAATAGTATTTAACTTTTTTAATGAAAATATAAGTCATTTATATTAATTAAAAATTGTAATGGTCCAAAAATAGAAACTTTAGGTACCTCATAAGTTATGAAGTTATTTGTTTAAATCTTTTGATTCTTTCAGTATAAATTGTTTCCTGTTAGTTAAGTATGATTTAAACCAAAGTAAACTTTTGTTTAAACCAAGAATGATTTAAACTAAAGTAAACTTTGGTTTAAATCATACTTAACTAACAGGAAACAATTCTTACTGAAAGATTCTTTCAGTATGAATTGTTTCCTGTTAGTTAAGTTTGTATTAAACCAAAGTAAACTTTGGTTTAAACCAAGAATGATTTAAACCAAAGTAAACTTTGGTTTAAACCAAAGATGAATTAAACTAAAGTAAACTTTGGTTTAAATCATACTTAACTAACAGGAAACAATTCTTACTGAAAGAATCAAAAGATTTAAAAAAAAAACGTCGCGACATTTTTTCAACACCATCTTGTTTTTTTAATAGTATTTCATGGTCTACATGGTCTTATCACTGTCAAATTCGTTAGATATATGCTTAAATAATTCTATTATTGCATGGTTAGTAGAGTGTTTCTTTTCAAACCCGTATTGACTACTTTATAACATCTTGTTTTCAGTTTGATGTTTATAAAGTCTTAACAAATTGTGGTGTGGATTTCAGCAAGAGTAATTTGCACAGCATGCACTTTTTAATTTACTTAAAAAGTGGCAAGAATGATTGGATCAAAGAGGTGTCATTGATTTAATATTTATGGATTTGTTAAAGGCATATTTAAATAATCATTTAAATAATCTACGAATATTGCAATAAGCAAAACATATTGATTTGCTTATTGCCATATTCGAAGATTATGGGTTTTCTAATGAAAGCCTTAAGCTTTTGTTATTAAACCTCGCTGTTTGCAAACAGAGGGTAAGATTAAGTTCTATATTTTAAGATTTTTTGAAATAGAATCTGGTGCCTTATTGTTTAAGTATTGGGACCCATTTTCTTTTTAAACTTTTGTAGTTGATTGTTGCTTAATAATTAAAGTTTAGGAAATCGGCATTTTTGCTGACGACAACACTTCATATGTTTTTGACAGCAACTTAGTGAGTTATTGCTTATCTTTAAATGTAAACATCAAATTCAATTTTATGGCTTTCCATAAATAAAATGGTTGCGTTCGGACAAATTTTATTCTTTTTTAGCTAGCTTAAAACTTGTGAAAGTCAATTTTCATTTGTTGGAAATGTAAAGAATTTTGTTTCCTCTAAAGTTAAACTTCTTGGAGTTATGATTGATAAGGATTTAAAGTTTGATAATCATATCAAGACTGCGTGGAAAAGCAAAGAATAAATGGTATGCCTTTTCACGAATAAGAATGCTAAGTTCTTTTTGTTGAGTTTCATTACTTATAAGTAATGATACTCATCAAAAGAACTTTGCATTCTTCATAAGAGACTTAACCTCTTATTTAAAATTTAAATAAGAAATTATAATAGTATGGAAAATATTGTATATGTTTTTGTATTTTTGTTTCATTTTTGTTATTGCAGGAAAAATATTTAAGTTTTTGAATTTACTGTCATTTCTTTTATTACTCTTAATAATTTCTAGAATATTAATATATATCTATATATATACATAAAAAAATTTATATTAATACAAATAAGACGAATGGGGGCTGGGAGAGAGGAACTACTTGATTTTTTTTGTTGCACCTCTAATGACGTTTATAAAAAGTTTGAAAATAGATATAGATAAATATTTCGCAATAAAGTTATTAAGTAAAAACGACGCAAACATTTGCAAACGCACCGATTCTACGCCATTGTTTTTATAATTAAATTGAACTAGCTGAAAAGAGTGAACATAAGAGGTCGTCCATAAAAAACGCACACTTATAGGGGGGAGGGAGAAGGTCTTCAAAAAGCGTACGAAAGCGTAAGGGCGGGGGGAGGATAATATTCGGGGCAAACAGTATATTGCAAGCAACGCAATTTTTGTTTTAAAAGTACAAACTTCGAATTTTTAATTTTACACAATTAACCATCTAGTCAATAGAAAAGTTAAAATTCTGACTAAAGATCCTAGATTGCTAACATAAAAAGATGTACTGTAAAGGCAGTAGAAGGTATAGTTTCTCTCTATGCACACACATGCATGGGCGCCCTACAAACTTAAGTATGTTTATACCTAAGCTATTTGAAGAGGCCTTGCAAAAGATTGTTATAACGGTAGTCTGGGAACACAAAAACCCTCAAATGCTTGCATTCCCTCCCCTGCCCAAACTTGATTGCGTTAATGTAGTCAAACGTTCCGACCCCCTCCCCCAAAAAATAAATAAATAAGAGTTATATATTTTGCATCCACATTTCAATCGACATTTTGTAATTTACAAAATTCTTTAACAAAAGTTCATATTTGTCAATAAATTTGAATTTAATTTTAGATCGTTAAGTTAAAATTTTTACTACTGTAAGTGCCCTAATGTTTGAGCAGGGGGGCAAGCGTTTCAGGGCTATTTATTGACAGCTCTCCGCCATACTAATTTTTTTATAAGGTCTTTTCATTTGGCATAGGTATGAACATTATAAAGTTTAAAGTTTGCACAATGTGTGAAACTGTCCTATCTGAAAAATTAAAAAAATCCTGCAGGCGCCTATGCCACCTCTTATATACTGGCCCTGAGTATACTCAGGACCAGTGTATAAGGAGTTGCATGTGCGCATGCATGTGCAAAAAATAGATTGCCTATTTTTTGAGTCAAATAAAAATTTACTGGGAATCGAACTCGGATCTTCGCTGTCACTGCTCATAACATCACCCACTCAACTAAAGCTAATCTCTTTAATATTGCCGGATTTATTTATGTTAGAATTTATATTTGTATATATTTAATGATGTTTTTTAAATAGGAATCTTTTGCCGCTAACAAAGGGCTTAGGGGTTGTATAAATACTTTATACGTTTTTTGCTCCCCGCTTATTTTTATTTTTTTTATACCAAAATTTTTTTTTATACAAAAATTTATTGAAATAAAAAAGATGAAGGAGGTCCACCTTTTTTTCAAGTAGAGGAGGGTGGGGGAGGGGGTTAATGAAAATGTACGTACTTTTTAAGGGGGTAAGGACTTAAAAAATAAGTTGCAACAGGGGAAGGGGGCGTGTCAAATTTCAGAATTTTTGACGTACGTGCTTTATGGACGACCCCTAAGAGCGTTGTACAGAATTCATAAAAACATTGTATTAAACTCGTATAATTGAAAGAAGATTTTATTTTAAATTATTGGCATTTTCCGTATTTCTATTTCTTTGTTTGTGGTTTGTTTCGAGTTGCTTTTAAACTTGAAAAAATCTTTGAATTTGATATTTAAAATTATAAATTGTTAGATACATTAATATCAGTTTAAATATAATAGAATATTTATTTTTTAGTTTAAAGTCGAAATTCTGAATGGAGAATTATTTAGAACTCTATTTTGTGTCTATGATAACATTTTTAAAAGGTATTTCATTTTTATTTCTCTTTTAATTACTATGATTAAACATTCGATTCTACACCCAAATTTTTAAATTTACAATTAACAAATTAGTTTTAGTTATTTTAAATTTTGGGACTTGATTTTTTTAGTATGTTTTTAGAAAGGTTTGCAAATTTATTCTCAACGGAGTTTTATTTTGGTATTTCAACAGCAAAAAATTAAAAAAAAAAATCAAACTTTTAAAATACAAATACAAATTTTTTTAGAGATTAAAAAAAAAATTATTGTTTTTTTTTTTAATGGTTGAGATAATTAATTTTTAGTTTAGTTAAGTCCTTAAAGATACAATTTTTTGATTTTGTTTTTTTTTTTTTTTTTTTTTATGCCATGTTAATGTAAACAAACTGTATCTTAATGACAAGATATATATGTAGCAGGGGCGAGAAGAAGACTAATATGTCTTATCGCCAAGCCCCTGGATAAGTTCCGTAAATGTAAAGTTTAATTTAAAAATAAGCATTTCCGTTGACAATATAAAATAAACAAACGTAAAACTGGTAAAGTGATAAATAAAACATATTATTAAGGAGCAAAAAATAAAAAGTAAAAAAAAAACAACGCATATTAAAAAAACAAAAACATAAATGAAATTCAAAAGTCAAAAGTGCATTCAACTCAAGCGTTTCTAATATTAATATACTCCTCATTTAATTGATAGATCATAAGGATATTTTGATTTTTAGAAATAGTTTTGTAGTAGATCACTTTTTTAGTAATAACCGTCTAAGTTTGGCATTAAACTCTTTTAACAATGAAAGAGTTTTAAGTTCAGATGTTAGTCTTTTATTCCATGCCCTTGGTCCTCTGATAGTAATTAAAAACTCAGTTGCCGCATAATAACTTATGGGTTGTATGTAGGTGTTACTTGAATGTCTAGTTAAGTAATTTTTCTGATTAATTTTGAATAAGAGATCAAAAGTTTTTGGAATAATAATTTTATTAATTTTGAACATAAAAATTAGAAGATAATAAATATTTATTTGGTAGATATTTAGTATATTTAACTTAGTAAATAAAGGTTGTGAGGGTGTACTGCGGTTTTTTTTGATATAATTCTGATTTCATGTTTTTGCATATTAAAGAGTTTTTTTGATTTATTTTTATTGGTACTACACCATGCAATATTAGCGTAATTAAAATAGGAATGAATAAAAAAAAATTATAAGAGTGTTAAATAACTTCAATTCAAAAAAGGTTTCGCCCTACAGAGTAGGCCAATGCTACTTGATATTTTACCTTCAATATATTTTATATGATTTCTCAATGTAACATTTTCGTCGAGGAGTCATCCTAGAAATTTTAATGATACCTATCTTTTTATTTCGCAATTGTTAATACAAAGATTTGGAAGTTTTATTGGAATTTTGTTTTGTTCACGATAGCGATGGAAAAAAGTATATATATTTTTTTTTTTTTTTTTTTTTTTTTTTTTTGCGGAATTAAAGATGGCGGACATGCTTTTGAAATAAAAAACAATAACAACCATTATATTAATGAAATATTATATATACGTCTTGTTATTAACGAAAAAACAACAGAGTTTGAAGAGCTAGCTAATATAATTTAAAATTTTTCAAGAAAATGGTAAATGCTCAAGAGTTTAATGCCTACAAGGCTCAACAGGAACAAATTATTGGAGATCTGAAACTACAAATTGAAAAATTAATAACTGATAATATGAATTTAAAAAAAATGAGTAGATGATTTAGAAATGAATAAATCAAGTACCAGTCATATAAATAACAATGTAACGTGGGCAAACATGGTAAAAAAGTCACCAGAACAAATGCTTATGATAAATTCCGTTACTAGTGAGACAAAAGAACGAGAAAGAAGAAAAAACAATGTAGTTATTTTCGGAATTAAACCATCGGAAAACGAAGAAAAGAGTAAAGAGAAAGAAGAAAATAGACGAGCTATAATTAATGTTTTTAAAAAATTGCAAGTAACCGTTAATGTTCAAAATTTTATGAAACTAAAACCAAGAAACACCAATAATCAAGCCCCATTTGTTGTCATACTGAAAGATAAAAGAGAAAGGAATTCTATCTTAAAAAAAGCCAAAGAATTACGAGATTCGAAAGAATATGAGAATGTCTATATAAATCCCGATTTAACGGAAAGCGAAAGGTTTAAATCAAAGTTTTTAAGAGAAGAATGCAGAAAAAAAAACAAAGAGAACATTGAAAACGAGTTCTACTATGGAATTCGAAATGAAAAAGTAACAAAAATCAAAAAATAGCTATATGATCTAAAGGACAAAAACTCAAATCATTTTTCATATTCACATGTAAATGTATTAGGAAATGCTGTGTTTAAATTTAAGGGTGGACCAACATCAATACCTAGCCTCGAAAAATCAAGAAACAACAACCCACACAAAAATCACATCAAACTTTGGTACACCAATGCAACTTCACTTAATAATAAAATGCAACAACTTAAAGCGTACTTGTCCTGTGATAAACCAGATATTATATTAGTAAGTGAAACATGGTTCAATGATAAATCAGTTATCATTATTGATGGGTACAACTGCTACAACAAAAACAGACCGCTTGGTGAAAATGGTGGGGGAGTAGTAATTTATGCAAAATCAACATTTATTACAACAAGTGTAAATCATTTAGCATTATGTGACAATGGAATAGAGCAGATATGGTGTAGTTTGACCAACGGACTAGACCATTTATTAATTGGATGTATTTACAGACCGCCAAGTAGTCCAGAAAGCGTAAACACTAAAATCAATTCAGTGCTTGGAATAGCCAAAAGTCTAGGTGACCAAAAAAAATATACCGGATTAATTATAACTGGTGATTTTAATTATCCACACATAAAATGGTACAAAGATGGTGGAACAAAACTGAAACAAAACTGTGATATTAGTATAAAATTTATTGATAATTTAAATGAAAATTTTATTGAACAATGTATTTTTGGATCAACATTTCAAATATCCGACGAAGAACCTACAAACACACTTGATTTACTAATGACAGATAACTGCAAAAGGATTAGAGACGTAGAAATAGGCGCACCACTTGGACCAATTGAAAAAGCACATTATGTAATTCAATTCAAATATGACATGCAAGGTGCTGACACAATCCCTATACAATTCAATAGTAAAGATATAAATTACCAAAAAGGAGACTATGAAAAAATAAATCTTGGTTTTAATTTAATAAATTGGCATGAATTATTCAAGGATTTAAACGTGGACCATTGCTACAGTGCTTTCGTACAAAAATATAATGAGTTGATTGAATTGAAAATTCCAAAGAAAAGAGCCAGGTTTGATCAAAAAGTTAAAAAAGACCCATGCATAACAATTGAAGTTAAAGCTTTAATACGTAAAAAGAAAAATTTATGGAACCAATTAAGAGCTGGTAAATTTAAATATTTTAATAAATTAAATGAGTACAAAGCAGTAAAAAAATTAGTCAAAAGCAAATTAAAAGAATCCACTATTGATTATGATAAAAATCTTATAAATAATGCCAAAAAAAATCCGAGACTGTTCTACAAATACGCGAAAAAGAACCAAAAAAACATCGGTAAAATACAATCAATGAAAAACTATGCAAATGTACTCACATTTGACAGGCATGAGATTGTTAATATATTGAACAAAAGTTTTCAATCGGTTTTTGTTAAAGAGCATGGTGAAATTCCGGAGTTTGTACCACGTATTACAAAACCTTTTGAATGGGATTGGAAAAATGTTGTTACAAATGAGGCAGTTCAGCAAAAACTGTATTCTTTGGACGTCAACAAAGCATGCGGTAGTGATGGTATTAGTCCTTACGTACTTAAAAATTGTTCAAGTAGTGCAGCAACTCCATTAGCTTTAATTTACCGAAAATCAATTGAAACAGGAAAAATTCCTAGCAAATGGAAAGAAGCAAATATTACTCCAATATTCAAGAATGGAAATACAACAGACCCGCTTAACTACAGACCCGTATCATTAACATCTGTACCAGGCAAAGTTATGGAAGCATTCATAAAAGAAGCAATAATGACTCATCTGATGGAAAATAAATTGCTATCAAAAAATCAACATGGCTTCGTAAAAAATAAAGCCTGTGTAACAAATTTGCTAGAAACATTAGACATTTTAACAGCAAGCATGAGTGACAGTTTAGCGGTAGATATGATTTATATGGATTTTGCCAAAGCCTTTGATAAGGTTCCACATAAAAGACTGTTGAAAAAGTGTGAAGCATATGGTATCAAGGGTGTAATAAATGACTGGATATCGTCTTTTTTAAAAGAAAGAAGGCAAAGAGTTGTGATGGGTGTAGACGTGTGTCCATGGCTTGAGATTTTTAGTGGTGTGCCTCAAGGCTCTGTGCTTGGTCCTTTGTTATTCTTGATATTCGTAAATGATCTACCATCAGTTATTAATTCCAATTGCAAATTATATGCAGATGACAGTAAACTTATCAAAGTTATAAAAAATGTTGAAGATCATGAGTCTTTGCAGAATGACATTAACGAATTTGTAAAATGGACCGATATCTGGTTGACAAAGTTGAACATCGAAAAGTGCAAGGTGATGCATTTAGGTAAAAAAAATCCACGTATGAGTTATTGTATGAACCACGACGGCAAAGAGTATAAATTAAAAACAACAGTAAGTGAAAGAGATTTAGGAGTGATTATTTCATCCGACCTTAAATGGCATGATCAAGTGACTTCAGCGACAGCAAAAGCACAAAGAACTTTGGGTCTAATTAAACGTACGTTTACATACTTCGATGTGGAAATGGTGAAATCACTATATACGACATTTGTGAGACCGCTTCTTGAGTTCGCTATACTTGCATGGCAGCCTTATTTACAACGGGATATTGATGAGTTAGAGAAAGCGCAAAGAAGAGCAACGAAGTTAGTTCCACAACTTAAAAAGATTTCATATGAAAAAAAACTGAAAGCAATGGGTTTAACAACATTAG